AAAAAGTTTAAATAAAAAAAATCCAGGTAAATAAAAAAAGCTTAAATTAGCTAACCTTAAAACTCCAAATTATTCCCACATCACATGGTTGAAGATGTGCTGTTGTACGTGGAGGAAAAAAATGCAATTTAACATTTGTTGGGGTAAAGCTTTCTTCAAGTGCGTGAGTTGATGCACTATCCAATATGAGAAGAATTGAATGGCGAGCAAGTCGCATTTGGTTATCTAGATGCTTAATGTAATTGTTAAAAATTGATGTTTGCATCCAAGAGAAACTATTCCAGTAATAATACACAGGTAAGGTGGATTTATCAATATTTTTGAGAGCTCGAGAGGTTTTAAATTTATGTATAAACAGAGAGAGGAGTTTGTGATCACTGGTTGCATTACATGTAAGTAATATAGTAATACAGTCTTTGGCTTTTTTTTTCCTGCAACTGGGCCATTAGCTAACATTTTATCGGGTTCTATACACCAGTATAATGCAGTTTCATCAGCATTATAAACATTCTCGGGCTTGTATTTTTTGATTAGTTCTTGCAACTTACTGCGAAATCTGGGAAGATTCTCGAGAGGTGCACTTGCAGCTTCACCTAAATGTTTGTATTCCTTTATATGGTGCCTTTTTTTAAAATTTGAAAGCCACCCATCAGATGCGTTGAAACCTGTCACTTCAAGCCCTTTCGCGAGTTGTGTTGCTTTACGTTTAACTATTGCACCTATAATTGTTTGCAATGCAGTATTTGCTCTTGATATCCAAAGCACAAGTGCTTCTTCTACCAAAGGATATTTTCCAGCCCTTTGTCGCTTTGAATAGACATTGTTCAAGTTTAAATCAAGTGCTAACCACTTTTCTTTTTTATGAACAATATCTGAGATTGTAGCTTTGGCTACACCAAACTGTTCAGCTAGTCTAATTTGACTAACTCCTTTTTGCTTTAGGTGGCATATTTCAGCTTTCTGAATACCGGTCAGGCTTTTTCTTGTATCAGTTTTTTTTTTTCTTTACTGTATTTTTGTTTCTTTTTCATCGGCTCTTCAGAAGGTCCTTCTATTGTTGCCATTACAAGTGATAAGAAACAAAAAAAATAGAGGGGGAATATTTCTAAAATAAGAAATAGTACAACTTCATTTACAAAAATGAAAATGACTAAGATGTAAAAAAAAAAAAAAAATAAAGGGGTAGTATTTTAATTGAAAAAAAAAAAAAAAAAATAAATTTTTTAAAAAAAAAAAAAAAAAAAAAATCTGCCTTCACACAATTAAGTGCATTCGAATGATTTTGCTTCACCTTTTCCATTTCAATACCATTGTTCAAGAATGAATTGTCATAATTTAAAATTCTAACTTTTTATTTCTTCCAGAGTCAAGGTCTAAAGGTCAAACGTGAAAAACCAGGTTGGCTACTCGAAATATAGTAAAATTTGTATATGGTGCAAGAAATTTTAAGAACCCCTATATAGGAATAATACATAAAATCATGACATGTATTTTTGTGTTACAACGGGTATGGCAACTGATCAATTAATTTGATTGGACAATAATAATCACATGATACAACCTTCGCTATCCCTTAAACCATATTCCAGGCAAATTTGGCTGGAAAATTTAATTGTATTTAGTATTTTTTAAATAAAATAATAATTTATTAATGATATAGGGTATATATTTATTAT